TAACGCTAAACAAAACTTTTTATCAATAAAATTCCCAGCCGCGCCTGAATCTACCAGCGCCTTATGCTGGGAATGAGGTGCTACCTGTGGAAAACGCACAGGCATCCAAAAATGGGCAACAGTGAGCTCTGGGTGAGTGGGGCGCCTACTCACCTGGAGGGAATCCCCAGTGCGGGACCTGTCGTCATCCTCCCTAGGAGGCCATCCCCAGCACCTAGCCGCGGTGTGTCCTCCCCGACCACAGTTGGTGCAGTGGATGGACCCCCTAACCAACCGACTCCTCCTCTCTCTAGCGCCAGCGCCCCCGAGCTCCATAGGACACGGCTCGGAGGCGCTGGAGGGTGAAATGGACGGACCCCCCTCAGGACGTCCGCGGGTGGCCAATAGGTTATCCAGCCTGATGGACATGTCGACCAGCTGGTCGAAAGAGAGACTGGTGTCCCTACAAGCCAGCTCCCGACGGACGTCCTCTCGTAGGCTACATCTGTATAGATCGACGAGGGCCCGCTCATTCCACCCTGCATCTGCCGCTAGAGTACGGAATTCGAGAGCGAATTCTTGGGCACTCCTCCTCCCCTGCCGGAGGAAGACCAGACGCTCCCCCGCCGCTTTCCCCTCCGGGGGATGGTCAAACACCGCCCTGAAGCGGCGGGAGAACTCGTTGTAGGTGATCGTCTCGGCGTCGATCTTCCTCCACTCCGCGTTGGCCCATTCCAACGCCTTCCCGGACAGGCAGGAGATCAGGGCGGACACGCTCTCATGCCCCGAGGGTGCCGGGTGTACGGTGGCCAGGTACAGCTCCACCTGGAGGAGGAATCCCTGACACCCAGCCGCGGTTCCGTCGTAGGCCCTCGGGAGAGAGAGTCGGATTCCTCGGGGTTCTGGCGCTGGAATGGGCGGACTGGCCGATGGTGCTGGCAGGGAGGGAGGTGGTGGAGGCGCTCCCCAGCCTCGGAGCGTGGTGATCACCTCCTGCAGGGCGGTCCCCATCTGCTGTATCTGGTCCTGTTGTTCCCGAACCTGGACCTCCAGTCTCGTCGGGGCTGCTTCGGCTCCTGCTGATTCCATGTCTGGTGTGTAATTCTGTCACGGTGTATAAATGGTGTGGTGTGGAATCAGGCGCAGAAGCAGATGTACAGTCCAACAAGACTTTACTAGCGAGTGCAAAATAATCCAAAAACGGCCAGAGGCCAAACAGACGCACACAGGCGTCGAACACGAGCGCACAAACACAGGGCGCAAAAACTCTCCTCAACCGAGGAGGAAGCTAATCGTAACTGGCGTACCGAAACACGGGTAACGCACAAACACCTGACACGAAACAATTACACACAACACTACACTAACAACAAGGAAACTAAATAGGGTGCTTAATGAGACATAACACAAGACAGGTGTGGCTAACAGACAAAACTAATCAAACAGGAAACATGGAACATACAACGGTGGCAGCTAGAATTCCGGAGACGACGAACGCCGAAACCTGCCCGAACAAGGGAGAGAGGCAGCCTCGGCCGAAACCGTGACATGCTAATTAGCTGCTAATGTAGCTGTCATAAAGAACTACAAATGCCATGATGATCTGGATGAGATTGCCGAATCGAGGCAAAGGTAAGAATCTAATGTTAGCTAAATGTAGTAATGAATAAATAGGCTACATTTCTTTAAATAGACAATTCTGTGATCTGTCTTGTGCAAGTTTTAAATTGACACAATATCTGTTAGCAAAGGTATCAGCTACAGATGACGTGCAGAAGCTTGCAGGGATTTGTAGTTTTACATGATGTCTACTTTGATGTTAATTAGCATTTTCGAATCTGAGAGTAAATAGAGCCGAATATATTGATAAAAGTCACCTTGTCTGAGAGAGATTAATATGGTTATCAAAACGTCACGCCATGGTAAGCCTACACAAAATACAGCCCTTATGTGTTTCTAAAATCGCCTATGGGAAAAATGAATAGTGGAAAAATTATTGGAACCATTTCCCCTTTTGACTGCTAAGTTTTATGGGTATTATGACACCTCCACTGTGGGGCTCTCTGGCCATACATGGGCCATTGTCTAGTTATGGTACATGGTGTGTCCTTGAGACGACTCTTGTCTGTTAGAGATGTTGGAGTAGAACTACTGTGAAAGTAGAAATAGTGTGATTATTGGTCACTGTCATTGCTTGGATAAGACAATGCAATGACAGTCAAGACATGGTGACGAGTAAAAACAAATTGTTGTGAGAGAAGTAGTCTTTTGCTGTCATCTGCTGGCCAAGTTTGGGTGGTTATCAGTGATCATGGACCAAAGTATACAAAACATTAGGAACACCTGCTCTTTCCATGACATAGACTGACCAGGTGAATCCAGGGGAAAGCTATGATCCCTTATTGATGTCACTTGTTCAATCCACTTCAATCACTATAGATGAAGGGGAGGAGACAGGTTATAGGATGATTTTTAAGCATTGAGACAATTTAGACTTGAATTGTGTATGTGTGCCATTCAGAGGGTGAATGGACAAGACAAAATATTTAAGTGCCTTTGAACAGGGTATGTCAGCAGGTGCCAGGCACACCTATTTGAGTGTGTCAAGAACTGCAACGCTGCTGGGTTTTTCACACTCAACATCAAGAATGGTCCACCACACAAAGGACATCCAGCCAACTTGACACAACTGTGGGAAGCATTGGAGTCAACATGGGCCAGCATCCCTGTGGAATGCTTTTGACAACTTGTAGAGTCCATGCCCCGACAAATTGAGGCTGTTCTGAGGGCAAACAGGGTGCAACTCAATATTAGGAAGGTGTTCCTAATGTTTTATGCACTCAGTGTATGTTCCTCTTATTATTTGGAAATAACCGCAAATTCAAATCTGATTTTTAAAAATGAACAAAATCCCTGTCCCAAATCATAGACTTTTATTACCTTTCAGTAAGACCCTATTTAGCATTATATAACATACTGTGCATTGTTTCCCTGTCATAAAGTCAACTGATGCTTTGAAATCAAAAAGGCCTAGTCCATTCCTGAGTTACAGCAGATGTGGACCCCCTCACCGAGAGACAGTGCATGCCATTGCGTGACTTGAGTAACACTACCCTGGCCTCACTCAGATTACGACCCTCTCATGGGGCCAAAACTCGTGTCACTAATAAAGAGACATGATAGAGCGTTACATTCCAGGAAGAAGAGTAGTGAACCTCTGGCCCAGAGCCAGCCAGACAGCACAAAAGTGCCTCACATAAAATGCCTGTGTTGTGGAACACAGCCCGGCTTGTCTGAGCTCTTCATTTGCTCCCAGAAAACATGTGTTGTAGAGTTTACCATCTGCTGATGACTGATAGAGATTACACGAAGAGAGGCCGATGAGTCTCGGTCTTGTGGCTGACTTACTTGTGGCTGACTACTACTGTGTGTGCTGGGCCAAATAGGCTAGTCTTTTCTGTTTACATGCTGTCTGCTTCCTGGAAAAACCTTGTATCAAATGTTTTGCTGATTTAGATTTAGATGTAAAAATTAAAATAAAAAAGATTTGTGATTTATTTTTGAATAAATTGACTGTAGGACCAACCAAAGTCATTCAAAAAATCTTGTGAATTTCCACGACTAGCCTACATGGAAATATATCTGAAAATAAATGTATTTCTTTTTTTGTTTAAAAAAAGTTGACTCTTTGGTTGATAATAGGTTTTTCCAGGACACCGACAATGCTGTTTATGGTATGAGAAAGCGTGTGCTACCTCTTCATTCATAGAAGATTGTGGTCATTCTTTCCTGATTCTGTGGGCATAATCTCTCATTGACAATATTGCAAAAATTATGTTCTGACTACATTATATGTAAGTAATATTATTAGTAGAGAGTTGAGAGTTCTATTTGCTGCATGTCATGTGTATTATACTGTAATTGATTACTCTGATTTAAGCCTTTTTAAGCCTCTACATTTTTCTTCATATTCTTCCTTAGGCCTATGCATAATTTTGTCAAATAATTTATTAAATCCTTTTCACCATAGAACATTTGAAATTGACTTATTTTCATTTTTCTAGAGAGAAAAGGGAAATGAGTGGAAGTGCCTGAAAAACCGAGGAGAAGGGACAGGGACAGGAAATATGGTGTTGAAAAAACAGCTATTCCCTTTCCTCCTTTCTGGCTTCCTGTTAGGGGCCAATGCTTTGCACACTCCTCTGAGCCCATGAGCTCACTGCGATCAACTCTCCTCACTATCCGTATTCACCGATCCTAGATCAGCACTCTTACTCTAAGACACTTCATCAATGCAGGCCCTGGACTTTTCCGTTTCTGATAGTGACAGTCGAAACACGAATTCAAAACTGTTCACTACTGGGGTAATTAGGGTTTCCAGGTTTAACATACCTGGCAACCCTCTGCTGTTTGTTGCCAAGATAGCCAACCCCTTCCCATGTAGCCTAGGCCACAGCATACAACCAACTGTGTTATTATGATAGAGTCTGAGGTGACTGATGTTGGCTCTCTGAGACTACCAGATGAGCATCAGCACTCAATTATATTTCAGATCTGCTCTGGCATAAAACAGGCTTTTTTACTGACTGACCATGTGTAAATTATGTGGATTCAGATTTATTATAGTATTTATTATATTAAAGTAGTGTGTGTATGTGTGTGTGTGTGTGTGTGTGTGTGTGTGTGTGTGTGTGTGTGTGTGTGTGTGTGTGTGTGTGTGTGTGTGTGTGTGTGTGTGTGTGTGTGTGTGTGTGTGTGTGTGTGTGTGTGTGCACGTGCTTGGGCGCGTGTCTATGTGTGTGAAATAGAACACGTTCACTACTATACAGTTGTTCAATCCTATGTACATTTCTCTCGCTCAATATACCATACCATACAAAGACATCCATTAATTCCATTAGTCTCTCTCCCATTCTTATCAAATACATGTGACTTTGATTATTGTGTGGGTACAGCATGGAGTAGCCTAATTTCATTATGCCTTTATATGAGTCCTCCTTTAAATGTTTATCTTCGATGGACTTACTCATCATGAGCCATTCGCAGTAAGAGGGGTTTAAAAACGCTTTACCGGATCTTGCGAAAACACTTCGACCTAATTCTGATTGGACCATATCCCACTGTTTCCCTCTCTCAGGCTTTGACGGGTGGCCACGGATTTGCTCGAATTTACGCAAACGCTTTAGTGAAGATGAAGAAATGGATTTTATTAAACTGCTCGGGACTGTTCTCGCCGTTTTCTGCCACCCAGGATTCACCAAATTGGAACTCAATGGTGAGTGTTTACAAGGAAAAAATGTCAAACTTGTCAAAGCCCGTTGTCAAAAAGTAACGGTATGATTAACCAAAGTTATCTAATGCATGACAATATTGCGCCCTGTTGATTGTGCGAAGAAAAAAAAATTGTTCTGTAGTGCCCAACGAAAGAAGAAAGATTTTGTACCACTCAAATGTTTAAATAGAACATTCAAACGTCACTCAAAGTCGGGTGCTTTTGTAGGCTAGATGGCAAAAACAGTCACTGCGATATTTCACTTCAATAGGCTTATACATTGCCCAGAGCAGGCTTTTTGGTTTGGTTTGTGTGTCGGAAACCAATGATTAGTTTTGAGATGGGATATTGTGCTCGCAAGTAGGCTACAGATTTAGAAGACCAATGTGGTATGTAATGGCCTAAAGGTAGTGAAAAATCAAGATGGGTCATATTACTTGAAAGATTAATCACTGTAGTTTGCAACATTATTAATAAAGGCCCTAATAATAGAGAAAATAAGACAGTAATAATACATCAATAATAACATGCAGCCTATTCATAGTGTTACATGCAAGCACTTATGAAAAACAATAAAACATTTCTTAAGCTTATGGCAATAGGCGTACATAAAATCAAGAGATCTTGCATATAGGCCTATTATCATGTAATTGATGTAGGCTAATATGTGTGCCATATGTCCTCACAGCTTACATAACAACTTGCAATGTTATTCCAATTAATTACCATTCTGATTTGCCATTCTTGATTAGCCATGATTAGATTTTCAATTTTGCAATTGAATTAGCAATTTCATTTGCATTCTTGATTAGCAATATCTTGTTTTCCAATGCGATGCACTGTAGGCCAGAGGATCTGCCGGCGTGGAACAGAGCGACCCTGCTACAGGATCAACTACTTCCAGGACTCACGGCGGAGGGCGACCTTCGATGATGCCAGGCAGGCCTGCAGGACAGATGGGGGAGAGCTCCTCAGTATCGAGACTGACAATGAGCAGCGCCTGGTGGAGAGGTTCATCCAACAGTTGCAGGCCACTGATGGGGACTTCTGGATCGGGCTGCACAGAAGCCCACGCCACCGGGTGACTACCATAGGCTGCCCTTCGCAGTACTACTGGCTGGATGGCAGCAAGGCCAGATTCAGGTGTACTTGTGTTTTACTTTGGTTTCAAGTCTCCCTGTAGCAAAAAGTCTAGGAGATCCCTGCAGCTGTTGGCATGCACACCACAGGAAAATACAGAGCCATATAGATACCTCACATGACACACAGTAGTCTGAGAGTCATCAAAGAGCATCATGATGAACATATGTTGGTGTCTACATGCTTTGAGGGTCATTGCATATTTCATCTGTAAAATTTTAATTATCATGAATGTTGTGGTATAGGCAGTGTTGAGGAAGCTATTCTGGAAATATCGTTTACCAATTACTTCACACTGGAAGAAGTAAGCTACATTAAAGCTATCCTTACAAAATATAGTTTACTTAACTATAGTTACTTTGAAAAAGTAGTTTACTACATCCAAACTACTTTGTGAAAAATTATCATATGTAAATCTGTAATGTCATAGACAAGAAATTGCAAGAACAGATCACTGTAGTCAGATGTTAACAGAATGTGTAATTTATCCTATTAGTCACAAAATAAAATCTTTCAAGTGAGAATTAGGCAGGTCTGAGGCCAAAAAAGAAAGGAAATTATTGCCTATTTCACCGATATTTTCTTTTCTTTTACAAAAAGAGTAGTGTGTAGTTCCAGTAGTTAGCTACACCACTACATGGCAAAAAAGTAATTAACTACTGAAAACACTACCTTGATTTGAATTTAGTTCAGCCACCAAACTACTGCAAAATGTAGTTAAATTACTAGTTGAACTACATGTAGTTCACTACTCCCTAACACTGGGTATCAGTAGGATGAGTGTCCATTTTTAGAAGCATGCTGTTGATTATCAGAGGATCTCTGATAGGGTTGTTGACCTATGGAAAACACGCTCGTTGCAGAAACTGGCATTGGGACGAGCCATCATGTGGCAACGAGATGTGTGTGGTGCTGTATCACCAGCCTTCTGCCCCCCCTGACGAAGGGGGGCACTTCATGTTCAAGTGGAACGATGACAACTGCAACACCAAGAACAATTTTGTCTGCAAGTACTCTGAAGGTGAACTGTACCCTGAACACGTTCTGAGTAGGCAAACGCTGTGGAACATTGCAGATAGAAATGTCATGAATAGAGCTGACATGATTCATTATTCTACATGTCAGAGAGTTATATTTGTTCTACATCATGTTTTTCTATCTGAACGTTCCACAACATTGTGCCCTGCTGAACATGGCCCCGGTGTCCTTGATAGTGTCCATATTTAGACATGAACAGATTAAACCAGGGTTGTATTCAATAGACAGCAAACAGAAGGAAAGGGACCAAAACAGGGAGGGACTACCTGAATTTGTCCAATAAGAATCTCTCGTTTTCATTGATGAAACGTTTTGTTACGGTTTGCAACAGGGTGCACTAATGAATTCGACCCATGTTACATTACATTTATCCAATCTCAATCCTGTAGTTTATCTCCGCTGAAGGAGATAATATTGTATGGTATGATTTTGATTATAAACTGGGTGGTTCGAGCCCTGAATGCTGATTGGCTGACAGCCGTGGTATATCAGACCGTATATCACGGGATGACAAAACATATATTTGTACTGCTCTAATTACGTTGGTAATCAGTTTATAATCGCAATAAGGCACCTCGGTTAAGGGCTGTATCCAGGCACTCTGCGTTGCGTCGTGCATAAGAACAGCCCTTAGCCGTGGTATATTGGCCATATACCACACCCACTTGGACCTTATTGCTTAATTGAATACCAGCTTATAAACAAGGAACCATAGAAAAAATTATTCACAATCAAAATAGTCCATATTCATTTGCAGCTGATGATTGTCTCTTTCTCTATCTTACAGAAAAGTTGCCAGTGTTTACTGTGGCGTGGAATTCAATATACACAGGTAAACCCACCCCTGTAGCTAAGAAAACATTATGACTCTATGATATTTTAGAGTCCATTGGACCACAAAACATATGGTTGGTGCATATGTTACGGTAAATGTGGAAAATCGGGAAATCTATACATTTCCACACATTTAGCCTACCAGTGTGACAGTCTGATTTTACACATTTGCCGTAATACATAGATCAGTGATTGAGTCCATTCAATATAGGTAAAGGTCTGCATAAAAAAAGAGATCTAACGGTTATTTTTGTCCATCAATTTAGTGAGTTATATCTTCCCCTTACCTTCTTTAAGGTTCAGCAATTAGGCCTGGCTGTGTCCTATAGTAAGTGATGATTTCACTAAGTTACACTTACATAAAAGTGCTATTTATAAACATTTTTTTGACATTTTTAACAGAAACATTTAGATTTTCTAAGGTCAAATATGTGAATCCTTGAGATGAGTAATTTGTTGATACTGAGATCAACAGCTTGAACATTGTTATGACATCACCGTTCTCAATCTCCGAAGTGTCTATGAATAGGATGACATCTAGAGGTCAAGATTTATGAATCACAATATAATAGAATATAAGACAATAGAATAGAAAAACGTTATCAGAGTGCCATTGAATCAATCCTCTTCCCAGACAATAAAGGCTATGCATGACAAATACTGTATAGTACAGTTATAGTTTACCAGTGATGCTGCTTAAAATGGTTGCTCTGATTGAGTTTATTCCTAGGAGTTTCTTTCTAGTAGGCTGCTAATTTGCATAATTTGTACTTGTCTACCCATTGCTGCATCACACATGCTCAATCTTTCATCTCTGATGAAGACAAATGTTGCTTATTTTTAGTCTACATATCTATTTGGACAATATGACGTTTTTGGATATCAACCGAACTTACAGTGTCTGTCTATTTACAAGTTTTGTTCATGATCTATTTTCCAGTTGCCCCAATTATATCTCTAATGCCAAACCTACCATCAGCTACAGTGAGTGATGAGAAGACAAAAATAGGACTGTCTGAATCATCAGGTAAAAAATCTGCACTCTTCATGTCTATCGAGTTTGATCCTTGGTTATGCAATATTGTACATTGTGTGCCAAACACAATAAGTAATCTCCTCATTTATTTTCCAAAGTTGTTTCCAAATGTATTCAAAGTGAGGTGCCAACTTACTGCCATTAGCCTGGTCCCAGATCTGTTTGTGCTATCATGTCAGCTCCTTGTCATTGACAATGAGTGACAAGGAGTTGGCATGATAGCACAAACAGATCTGGGACCAGGCTATAATGCCATTGTCTTACCTCTGGTGTTTTGATTCTCCCTGCAGTATCTCTTTCAGATAATGCCCTATTTGTCACCTACATTCTATTTGCCACTATCCCTATTATACTGCTGCTGCTTGTGGCTACAGGAGTCTTCTGCTATAAACGGGCCGTCAAAAGGTAATACTTATTTGCTTCATTAAATAATAGCATGGAATAATACATTTCGTACTATAGGCACCTTTCAAGGTCACCTAACATTATTTAAAAGTATGTAAAAAAAAATAAAAAAATGACACAGATAAGAGGGGCAAAACAGAGGAAGCTCACAAGAGGGCTTGCGAAACATAATCAACATCAGACATCACAGAGCATAAGATAGCCTTAAGAGATGTTTTGTTTTGAGGTGGTTTTGAATGCCGTATATGGCAATGCTGGAGGTGTTTGTGGCTCACTACATGCCTCTGTAACTGATAGTGTAACTGTCTTTATGCAGGAGAAAGTCTCAAACAGACAGCTACCCTGAGCAAGAGCAATGGGGTACAATGTCCACAGCGGCCTGCAACATCCAAGTACCCTATGCCTACCAGGACATCACCAAGTTTCAACCAGCCAATCTGCAGAGCATGGCACCTGAAACAATCAAGAAGATGTCCTTCTGTGCCTCCTCCTCTTTTGATTCCCAGTGTGATGATTACGAGAATGTTTCAAACAAGGAGACAGTGACAGATAGTGGCTTTGTGACCAATGACATCTATGAGGCCTGCCAAGACCAGGGTCGGCACTATCTCAACGAGACTGGATGGGTGGAGAATGAGATCTATGAGTAATGTTGCTGTCCTGCAGTGCCTCTCTCTTTACCACATGTCCACTGGGCCATCTGGGCATCTGACTGTTGTTGTCTCCATTCATCTTTCATATCTCCTGCTGGTGGGTTGTATGGCATCATGTGACATGAGACAGGATGGACAGATCCTGTGTGGTATTATAAAGTGTTCGCTTTAGGGTACGTCCATTAACCGTACAAAGAAGCCCCATTTGAGGCTTCCTGTGTGGAAGCTGATGTCAGGGAACAGGACAATATCTTCGGAAGCTCGGATGACAGAAGTCTGACCCCACGATACCTCTGAGCAATGGTCTCCCCCGCCTGCAAGAGATGATCCACCAATTATGTTTACCAAAGCCTCCACTGTAATGACACCAATTTGAGCTGGCTGGATATAGTCTTTAATGTGCCTTGTCATGGCTACACCAAAGTCCTGGTTGAATAACAGTGTGTAGCATTAGTTTATTTGCCTATTCCTATGTCTTCATCTGATAAACATTGTAGGATAATAGTGAAGACATCAAAACTATGAAATAACACATATGGAATCATGTAGTAACCAAAAAGGTATTAAACAAATCAAAATATATTTTATATTTGAGATTCTTCAAATAGCCACCCTTTGCCTTGATGACAGCTTTGCACACTCTTGGCATTTTCTCAACCAGCTTCATGAGGTAGTCACCTGGAATGCATTTCAATTAACAGGTGTGCCTTCTTAAAAGTTAATTTGTGGAATTTCTTTCCTTCTTAATGCGTTTGAGCCAATCAGTTGTGTTGTGACAAGGTAGGGGGGTATACAGAAGATAGCCCTATTTGGTAAAAGACCAAGTCCATATTATGGCAAGAACAGCTCAAATAAGCAAAGAGAAACAACAGTCCATCATTACTTTAAGACATGAAGGTCAGTCAATACGTAACATTTCAATAACTTTTAAAGTTTCTTCAAGTGCAGTCGCAAAAACCATCAAGCGCTATGATGAAACTGGCTCTCATGAGGAACGCCACAGGAATGGAAGACCCAGAGTTACCTCTGCTACAGAAGATAAGTTCATTAGAGTTACCAGCCTCAGAAATTGCAGCCCAAATAAATGCTTCACAGAGTTCAAGTAACAGACACATCTCAACATCAACTCTTCAGAGGGGACTGTGTGAATCAGGCCTTCATGGTCGAATCGCTGCAAAGAAACCACTATTAAAGGACACCAATAAGAAGAAGAGACCTGCTTGGGCCAAGAAACAAGCAATGGACATTAGACTGGTGGAAATGTGTCTTTGATCTGGAGTCCACATTTTTTATTTTTGGTTCAAACCGCCATGTCTTTGTGAGACCGTAAAGCATGGAGGAGGAGGTGTTATGGTGTGGGGGTGCTTTGCTGGTGACACGGTCTGTGATTTATTTAGAATTCAAGGCACACTTAACCAGCATGGCTACCACAGCATTCTGCAGCGATACGCCATCCCATCTGGTTTGGGCTTAGTGGGACTATCATTTGTTTTTCAACAGGACAATGACCCAACACACCTCCAGGATGTGTAAGGGCTATTTTACCAAGAAGGAGAGTGATGGAGTGCTGCATCAGATGACCTGGCCTCCACAATCCCCCGACCTCAACCAAATTGAGATGGTTTGGGATGAGTCAGACTGCAGACTGAAGAAAAAGCAGCCAACAAGTGCTCAGCATATGTGGGAAGTCCTTCAAGACTGTTAGAAAAGCATTCCAGCTGAAGCTGGTTGAGAGAATGCCAAGAGTGTACAAAGCTGTCATCAAGGCAAAGGGTGGCAATTTGAAGAATCTCAAATATAAAATATATTTTGTTTTGTTTAACACTTTGTTGGTTACTACATGATTCCATATGTGTTATTTCATAGTTTTGATGTCTTCACTATTATCCTACAATGTAAAAAATTGTAAAAATAAAGAAAAACCCGTGAATGAGTGAGTAGGTGTGTCCAAACTTTTGACTGGTACTGTACATGTTTTGCGTACATTGTAGATTCAAGTGGGGCTGACTAAAGTGTTGTGAAAAAGTAGTCTAACGAGCTAAAGCTGAGTGTTCTTGGAGGATGTCTGACTGGAAATGCCGAAAGCACATCTGGAACTCGCACATCCAGGAAATCTAGCAGTGACAGCAGAGGCTTTTGGGGTGCTGCGCTCAACAGTTTTCCATGTAAGGCTGTCACGATAGGTTAATTAACAAAACATGTACTTGCTGGACATGTTGGCCTATATGGGTCACTGATCTGGCCACAAATAAAGCCTATGAATGACATGCATAAGTGTTTTTTTTATTTTTATGTTTTATATGCCTTTATTGTGTTCTTGTGTACAAGAAGACAGAAAAATAGACAATTTATAAGTCATAAAACATTTGGTAAGATATACTTTACTGTACTATTGCAAACAGTACTTACTTATGGTTTCCATATTGTTTGTTTGACCAGCAGGTGGTACTGTTTCATGTAATCTTTTAACTGTCTTTCCATTGGTCTCGAACTCCAGCAGCTTCACTCAAATTCTATGTTGATCGCTATATGTGCAATGGGTGTGTTAAAAAAGATGATAATAATTTGTTCATAATCTGTCATATTATATTATTATTCTCAAACCAATTGACACGGCATAATAACCTGTATCCAAAATGTACAAACCTGAATTGCAGAACACACACCATCCAGCATTATCCAAATTAATGTTTGCTGTTTCGTGCATAGCTGGGGAAACCTGGCAAGCATCTCACACTGTCCATTCTCAAAATGTATGATTATTTTACTACAGCCTTAAAGGGAAAATGCAACCAACAAAAGTTATAATAAAATGTATTTGTGGTTGCATTACTTGCATGCATAATTTCCTTTGTGCATGAACATACATATGTTCCATAGTCAGAGCCCAGCTGCACACATAACTTTACATATCAAAACAACATGCATGCATGGAGTAATTTGCTAGCATAAATGTACATAAATAATGCACCAGTCCAGTCCCTGCACGTTCACTCAGAGTAACAAAAGCTTTATCTGTGCACCTGCAGGCCAAACTTTAAAGTCAACTATCCACTCAGGGCCGCGAGCAAACAGATTTCAGAATAGCAATGTTACCGGTTGACGTAAGAGGTGGGTCCAGTTACCTTGGAAATGAATTGGCACTGAAGCGTTGAACCGCTTCAGAGACCCGCCCCCTGTACAAATACCCCATGGCTCTGACGTCAATGTACGTCAACGAGAGAATATGATGCCTCCTGCAAGTCAACTCCTGTACTTTAGCTAATATAGATAGCTAGCTGAAATATTATAGCTCTATTGTATTGGAGAACGTGGCGTGACAGCCGTAAATGTCCTCTGTCGTCTCGTTGGTCTGAAGGGTCGTTAAGGTTCAAACTGTCTGGGCGACCGAGAATTGTACTTCGTCTATTTTGAATAGACACATTTTAGCGGGCGGTTTGTTTTCCCTTCCTTGTTATCTGTAGGCTCAAGTCGCGAACCCCTACCTCCTCACCCCAAACCACATTTAATACAGCATGGTCATGCCTGACAATCACCAAAAACCGATGGTCCGGGGTCCTGTCCGAGTGGGCTTCTACGATATCGAACGTACTCTGGGAAAGGGTAATTTCGCCGTTGTGAAGCTGGCTAGACATCGCATTACCAAGACCGAGGTAAGTGCTGAGCAAACTAGCTAGCTGGCTAGCATGTTAAGTAACAGTGAGCTACAGTAAGCGTGTGATTTTCTTGCAAAGGGCACTAACCTTGCCTTTTAACTGACAAGCTAGTTAACGTTACTTGCCCCCTGTATTGCAGCTGTGAGTTAGCCAGCTATCTAAATTTATATTTGCACATTTATTCTGTAGTTAACTCATTCTGTTCACATTTGACATTGACATATTTAGACTATTTCACACCTAGCTAGCTTGCTTTGTTGCAAACACAGTAGTCTCCTTTTTTTGCTAAGCTTTTGACCCACACATGAAGAAAGCTATAGACTAGTACCAGCTGATGTAACTTGTTAATCAAAACTGTCTGACTGTGGTTAACTAGTAAAATTGGGTGTCACCCAGTTTTAGATGTAGCTAACGTTAGCCTAACGGTGAAGCTGATTCATGTGTGTGTTTATTCCATGAGAGCCACATTATCCCATCACTTTGTAACCTCAATGTTGTGCAATACACTGCCTTTCTTTGACCATGGATCATTACATTGCTTCATTACTCTCACTAACAATTGTGTGCAGTTTGTATAACATTATGTATAATGTGGTCAACAAGCCACCCATAGACCAGGGTTTCCCAAACTCGGTCCTGGGGCCCCCCTTGCGTGCACGTTTAGGTTTTTGCCCTATTACTACAAAGCTGATTCAAATAACCAACTCATCATCAAGCTTTGATTATTTGAATTTGACTGGTGTAAACAACCACGTAAATATCTAGGGCATGCAGCATGGCATTACTGCATTGGTTACATAACCCAATAATAATGTGATTTTGTTGCCTCTTCTTGGGACAATCACTGTGGAGCTGCCGTGTACATACTCCATTCACAGACACTAATAGCCCTTGATCATGACTCTCAGTTCCATTACATTACACATAAGTCATTGGACGAAGGCGTCTTCTGTACAGGGGTGTTTTGTTGAGCCTCGACGCTTGCTCTAAACCTTAACACGCATCGCTTGCGGAGTGGTTTTGGAAACCTAAGGAACGTATCTTTCATATCAGCAATAAATCATTTTCAAGAAACAAAAGGTTAAATTACTACACACCTTTATAGGGTTCCCACACTTCCATATTACAGCGCTTGTTTACGGAAACAGAGGGAAGACAGGGTGGACTAGGGAGAGGCTATACAGACACGCCTGGTGCCCAAATTGTTGACGTATGTTGCGCAGTTGAGAGTCGAGTGGAGATGAATGGATTCGGTTTAGTCAGTCCTCCTGATGAGCCCTTCCCAGCTATTTAGTTTATGCTGTCTAGCTGGCAACAACCGCAGCATGGCGCTAGTTAAAACTTGTAAAAGAAAGTGATGTTTGTTTCGATGGGCGAAGGAGAAATAACTTGTAGCTAGGGCTGGCACAATTATCGTATAATCGTGTAACCGACAATTATGGACAATAACCGCGAACGAAACAATTTCTTGGCCATAATCGTCTTACTACTCTTTTCAGGAGAATGGGGGATTCAACGTTATATTTAGTATATATAGTTTACCCAATAACACTTATTCATTTTTACATGAAGTGGGTAAAGTTGTTAATAATTTTATAAGCAGAATGGCACGGTCGGGAGGAGAAGCATCATTTCCAAAAGTTCCAAGCGGTCAAAACCATTCGTTTTGGAGACAGGGGTGTCACCAAAGCTGTTATTTATTCATTAGGTATGTCGCAGCAAATTTTCTAAGATGCATTCAAAGCTAAAACACATTTTTCTACTAAAATGACAATTATGACAATAACCGTGGCCATTTGCATGACAATTAGGCCTAACCGGTACCCAAAATCCATAATCATCACAGCCCTACTCACGATGTCACCGTGATATGCCAATTAGCTAACATAACGAGGTCGTATCGATGTGCTTCCCACTGTTTTTCTTCACCAGGCAACTGTATCACATGTCGCTGGTGGTAGCTAACGTGGCCAATTTGTTCCATCCCACTTGATTATATTTTGAGTAGGATAGCAGCCTTCCTTGAGAAATAACTTGGAATATTGGTAGTCACCGTGATACAGTCTACTGCTCAATGGGAGAGTTTGCGCTGCAAGCCGGCAACACAACATCACGGGGCACAGTGTGTCCTTAGTTCCTGCTTGCCGACTAATGCCGAGCACTGCTGTCCTGCAGTAAGGAGAGGGAAGTAGCTAGATAGTCTCTCTCGTCAGACTTTTCTCTTAAAGCAAAACAGAGTTGGTCAAATAATGAAGGATCTAGAATAGGCCAATGCAATGTCATACCTTTAAAAAAGAAAGACATATGTGATACTTTTATAAATGGATTCTTTGAGGATGTGTATGGAGCCGAGTAGATCTTATAGTTTCTATAAAATTGCATTTGAAGTTTGGATTGAATCACACGACTGGAATCATCATCAATGTCCAGAACACAATGAGCTTTCTATTCCACTGCGATTACACAGGGGAATTAGTAATCATTGTGACTGAGCTCGTTTTTAACACAGATGGGTCATCTTTCTTCATTAGCTTTGAGCTCACAGAGCTCTCGAAGGTGCAACATAAAACATATTTTGTCACTGAAACTTGGAGTCCTGTGCTGTTCCTCTGTTGAATGTAGCCAATGTATCTATATAGCTAGTCAGTGGCACCGTTTCTCAGATAAGCAAGCGAGTCACACGGGTCAGTTCAAAGATCAACATAAGCCCGCCTACGTGTTGAAACGGTCGAGGAATAACATTATGTGACACCATCTGCCACAGATGAATACAAATTGATGACCATTACGGCATGTGACGTGAGTCATAAGCATGCAGAGACAGGACAGTACAGTACTTAGAATGACCCTCGCTGTATTTTATGTTGTGAGGCTGTTGAAGCCACTGAACATAGGTCTACTCTGCTGCTCTCCCTCTGACCTTCATGTTGTCCAGACCCTCCATATCCAAGGTGTGTCCCAAATGTCACCCTATTCCCTATGTAGTGCACTACTTTTGACCAGGGCCCATAGGTCTGCTCAAAAGTATTGCACTATGTTGGAAATGGTGTGCCATTTGGGATGAAATCCTAGCCTATCCATGTTGTGTGAAATCAATCTGTCAGTAGGATAACGATGGGAGAACTGGGGTGTACGAACCAAACGGAAGCGAACAGAAGCAAACGGCAAACGACCTACATTCATTTGTCCAATAGAAACTCTTGTTTTCGTTGCGAAACGTGTTCTGTTACAAAATGTCTTGCAACTGTTTGCTATGGTGTGCAATAATGATTACACCCCTATCCATCTCCTGTCGTTCCACTTTTTCATTGGTTTCTTTCATTACCTAGGACTGTTAGGTTAGTTCAGTAGTTACTCATATCGTCTTTGTGATCTTGCGATCAGTCGGACCTCAGTTCATGAATGCCCCCGACCTTACTTGACGACCTTGTAGTGGCTGGCAGTAGGCCTAATGCCTCCATCACACTGACAGTGTCATTGCCTTTTGGTGCAACAGAAGTACATTCATTTCCAATGGAACACTGCATTTGCCTTGCAGCATTGCGTTGCAGAGGCAGTTGCAGTGCGTTCTGTGACGCACATACGTTGGATATCTCGAACGTATGCATCAAATTGTAATCGTACACAGCTTGACAGAAATGGTTGCAGAAGGTGAATGTGTTGCACACGTATCCAGATGATGCTGTGCACCATTTTGCGCAATTACGGTATAGGTGTGATCGAGGTGTAAATGTCTAATATTTATAACGAAGAGCGAGAGGAGCGTTCGTGTAGTGCTGTGGATCTAATCAAGCATTTTATTGGGTAAGATTAGTGTGGAATGATTAAAGGCCTCCCCTCGCTCTTGTTTACTCCCAGAGCTTGGCTCGCAGACATTTGGATCTCTTCAAGTCCTGGTGATGAAATGCTGTTTATGAGAGCGAGACTTGGGATATTGCATGTTATCATGACATGGACACTGTTAATCAACTCTCGCAAGGATGAAGAAATTGCCTGTTTTCCAGCAGCTTCTGCTAGTGCTTGCCCCCCTTACCTCACACCCAGTGTGGATGACAGAATATAAAAGCTGTTTATGATTTCCTCCAGCAAACAGTTTTTTGTGTGCAAAAGAGAGCATTTGAGGAGGTTTTTTGTCTGTGCTTGCCTTGCAAGAACTGAGAGTGCTGTGGAATTATATTATGGAGAGATAGGCCTACTGCTTGCCACTTTTGCCTTGGACTTTCTTAGAATTCTCTGCCTCAGTCTAAGCGACACTTTAAAATGTAGGCCTACAAAAAAGTGTTTTTATTTTCCTTTACACCAAAAGACCTCAAGGGAATCCTTTGAAAGTTTTGTCCAGGGACTCATCACTGTATTCTGTGTTCCACAGGTTGCCATTAAAATCATTGACAAGAGCCAACTAGATGCTGTGAACCTGGAGAAGATCTACCGGGAGGTACAGATCATGAAAATGTTGGACCACCCGCACATCATCAAGTTGTACCAGGTAAGCCGCTCCTCTTAAAACACCAGTATACAAAATACATTCCCTTTTTATTTGATCCTCTGGGATTTGTATAAATTTGCAACGCCTACGGTCATTCAGGACATTTTCTAATGGGTGAGCAAACATCTCCAATCTATCTGGCCTTCACAGTCCTAGACCTTCATAGATATCAGAACTGACGTCTGACGGAGTTAATGACTAACCAACCAACCCTCTGCCTCTTCAAGCAACGTGTCAAGGTGCTTGATAAAATGTCACCCAAACTGCACTGTAGGGTTCAGCCTCTCGTGTTAATAGCGGGGGGGGGGGGGGGGGGGGGGGGGGGGGAGCCATGTTCAGCTGCCAAGCTCTACCATCAGAGGAGGTCCTACTAGTCAACCCGAAAAGCCCACCACAGACTTCACTTTATTACATAAGACTTTAGATGACTTTGGTCGTTGGGAATGTGAATAGCAGTTCGTTATTATTACACAACCAAATGGCTCGGGTCCAGACGTTGCTGTGTAATAATGGTGTATCATTATTTCCAACAGCTCTTCCATTGAAACGGCTTGGGTCAATTAGTAATAAACAGAGGGCAGCAGGCTCGGCATCGGCTCTCTTCTCGCTCTCTCATCCCCAAACGACCAACTCCCCCCTTGTTCAGTTTGTCTTGGGGTCTTTGCTTCAAAGGATGCCCCCTCAGCGGACTCAGAGGCCCAAGTTTCCCACAGTCACACACACACAGCTCTTGCTTAGGCCACTTCACTGTTTCCAATAAACTCCTCATCCCCACCTTCATCAATATATGGCCTATTTGTCCCCATCAAGCATTCACAACAACACAGAGAAGTTGGAGGCTATAATGTTGTCCTTTGCATGGGATGACAATCCATGTAATTTCCCCACTCTGGCACAATTTGGATGATAAGTGCCATGTGGTCGGCATGTTATGGAAAGCACTGGGAAAAGTGACATTGATTATCCCTACAGGGTTTTTGTTAAAGTCATGGAGACAGGGGCATATTGGTCAGAAAGGGTGCAGAGGAACGGGTTAGTTTGCCCAGATGGGAATTTACATGAAATAACCACTTTGTGATATTTCTATGTGAGTGTATCTGATTCATTAATGCATCTATTTTCCTCTCTCTCAATTTAGCAATGTTCATCCCTTTGTTTTCTTTGGCTAATTCCATGTTATGTCCCAAATGGCACCATATTCCCTATGTAGTGCACTACTTCCCATAGGGCTCTGGTCAAAATAAGTGAACTTCATAGGGAATAGGGTGTCATTTAACTTCATAGGGAATAGGGTGTCATTTGGGACGTAACCCAGGATGTCCTCCCACACACACACACCGCTGGCACTATCAGTACCGTCTCTCTACAGGGAATAGAGGAGCCGTTCAACCATGGAACTGTTCCCATTCTCTCATGTGTTCCATATTTGTGTAATATTTAATTCCGAAAAAAGAAAGCATATTTTTTGTTGTTGTGAGCCTTTACTGTGTAATATTTGCAACCTTTACTCTGCTGATCAATGCAAGTTTGCATTCATCCATTTGTTATTTATGATCCTTTCATCAAGGCTGTTCTGCGGTTCTCAATAGGCCCACATCAGCCAGCCTAATACTGTTCCAGGAATCTATGCACAAGGATTATCAGATGAATTTACATCTTAACAGCACCAAGGTCGTTGATGAGGTTGGTCTTAATCTGTTTTGCTGTGTGCTTATTGCTTACTCATCGTTTCCTTCCATCTTTCACAGGTAATGGAGACCAAGAACATGCTCTACTTGGTGACAGAGTATGCCAAAAACGGGGAGATTTTTGGTAAGTGACACAGACGTACCAAGTGAATTTTTACCCGACTGGAAACAATGTCAAACAATTTTAGCATAAAGCTCTTTTCTAATGTGTTGTCACCTCTCCTCTCCTGTTAGTTATATTGTGTGTAGCCTACTTGCATGCAGTAGCCTATACACTGAGTGTACACAATATTATGAACACCTGCTCTTTCCATGACAGTCTGACCAGGTGAATCCAGTTGAAAGCTATGATCCCTTTTTGAATGCCGCTTTTTAAATCCACTTCAATCAGTGTAGATAAAGGGGAGGAGACCGGTTAAAGAAGGATTTATAAACCTTGAGACAATTGAAACATGGATTGTGTATGTGTGCCATTGAGGGTGAATTGGCGAGACAAATTATTTAAGTGCCTTTGAACGGGGTATGAAAGTGCAGTGGATCCCAAACTGTGGGGCGTGCCCGCAGGGGGGGCATGGGGGGGTCTTTTTTTTATAAGGAACTCAGTGCGGCTTTCAACTTACTCTTGAAAGTTGTAATAGTAGAATGCAGAAGGTGAAATTTCGAAATTGGATAGTGCATCATCAGTTTTCCTCTTGTCATGTCAGTCATTGCATACCTTAGAGAGCTATTTATAGCTTGCAAAAAATGTCCGGATCAACTAGCCCATGTCAGCTAATGTTTTTAATCTATGTTTTTTAGCCCATAGATTTTGTTGTAATGTTTTAGAACTCAAATATCACATGAATAGACATTAGACATGGCAAAATGTATAGAATTGCAAGAAAAGTAGCTTTAAAACTGCAAAATGTTCTCTGCAGCCCATGACAAAATTAACTTTAAACCTGCAACATTTTCTCCGCCAACAAGAGGGGTGTGAACAGTTTGTGTCATGAACAGTGCTTGTGCCCATAGAAATAAATGTGGTGTGCATGCAGTGGGGGTGTGGGATGTTCCCCAATGCTTGATGCGGAGCCTGAGTGAAAAAGTTTGGGAACCCCTGTGGTAGTGGGTTACAGGCGCACCGGTTTGTGTCAAGAACTGCAATGCTGCTGGGTTTTTCAAGCTCAACAGTTTCCCGTGTGTATCAAGAATGGTCCATCACCCAAAGGACATCCAACCAACTTGACACAACTGTGGAAAGCATTGGAATCAACACTGGCCAGCATCCCTGTGGAACGCTTAAAGATGTGAAATGTGAATGCTATTTTACCCCATAGCACATGTTAGCAAAGTTATCTTTTGTACAGTACATTGACGTCACAGAGAGACCTTCTTCCTGGCAAACGTACAAAATCAGCAGGTTAAGTGATTTGTATCGATGAGTTGTTTTGCGTGATGTTTGACAAATCATTGTACTGTAGGCAGTGCAGAGCTGTGTACAGTGATCCTCCTGTTATGTGTGCTTGAGGTTGTGCACAAGGTGAGTGGGTTGGTTAACCTTTGCCCCATAAAAAGTGGAAGACGAACAATTGGTGGGATTCTACTACTGGACTGGAGCAGTTATTTATATGAAAACACGAGAGGTAGCCTAGCTGTGAAGAATGAATAAGAGAGAGTGATCATGGAGGGCAAAACCAGAAGCCCTAGAAATAGGACTTATAGAACATAAGAGGTAATCTTGATGTACCATTGAGCTAGGAGGCGCATGTTCTGTCACTGACACGCCAGGCTCTCTGGTCTGCTCCAATGAGAACCAGTTTGCTGCCACCAGCCGTCTTGGTTATATAAGCAGCATTTTCTGGTTCTCTCATTTATTAATTTGTTTGTATAGAGGGAGAAAAAAGGAGTGCTTGCTTGACACATGAAGGATGACATTTCTTTACCCGTGAACAAAGTGAAGTGACGCAGGGCCCTCAGCAAAGTTGTCTGCCTTATCCATGCCCATTGCCAATGCACAGAGAGTGCAGTTGTTGTTGTTTTTTTGCTTGTCCGTGATAGAGCTGCAAACATGAGTGCAGGCAGATATTATTGCTGTAGAAGGCAGAAGTATGGTGGCTTCAGAAAGTATTCACACCTCTCTACTTTTTCCACATGTTGTTGTGTTACAAGGTGGGATTAAAATGGATTTGTCATTTTTTGTCAAGGATCTGAACAAAACACTCTAATGTCAAAGTGGAAGAAAATTATAACATTTGTACAAATATACACTACCGGTCAAAAGTTTTAGAACACTTACTCATTCAAGGGTTTTTCTTTATTTTCACAAATGTCTACATTGTGAAGAAGTCAAAACTATGAAATAACACATGTGGAATGCAGTAACCAAAAAAGTGTTAAACAAATCAAAATATATTTTATATTTGAGATTCTTCAAATAGCCAGCCCTTTTCCTTGATGACAGCTTTGCACACTCTTGGCATTCTCTCAACCAGCTTCAGCTGGAATGCTTTTCCAACAGTCTTGAAGGAGTTCCCACATATGCTGAGCACTTGTTGGCTGCTTTTCCTTCACTCTGCAGTCAGACTCATCCCAAACCATCTCAATTGGGTTGAGGTCGGGGGATTGTGGATATCAGGTCATCTGATGCAGCACTCCATCACTCTCCTTCTTGGCAAAATAGCCCTTACACAGCCTGGAAGCGTATTGGGTCATTGTCCTGTTGAAAAACAAATGATAGTCCCACTAAGCCCAAACCAGATGGTATGGTGTATCGCTGTAGAATTCTGTGGTAGCCATGCTGGTTAATTGTGCCTTGAATTCTAAATAAATCACAGACAGCGTCACCAGCAAAGCACCCCCACACCATAACACCTCCTCTTCCATGCTTTACAGTGGGAAATACACATGCGGAGATCATCCGTTCACCCACACCTCGTCTCTCAAAGACACGGCAGTTGGAACCAAAAATCTCCAATTTGGACCCCAGACCAAAGGACAGATTTCCACCGGTCTAATGTCCATTGCTTGTGTTTCTTGGCCCAAGCAGGTCTCTTCGTCTTATTGGTGTCCTTTAGTACTGGTTTCTGTGCAGCAATTCGACCATGAAGGCCTAATTCACACAGTCCCCTCTGAACAGTTGATGTTGAGATGTGTCTGTTACTTGAACTCTGTGAAGCATTTATTTGGGCTGCAATTCCCCCCCAACCTTGTCACAACAACCGGTAGAGTGTGTGTGATATATATAATTAAACACTAATATATATCTTGATTACATAAGTATTCAACCCCCTGAATCAATACATGTTAGAATAACCTTTGGCAGCGATTTAAAGCTGTGAGTCTTTCTGGGTC